ATCAAATGTCTTATTTAATCTTAATGTCCTGAGTTAATAACAAACAAAATTAAAAGGCAAAATAAATTATAGTCGAGGTTTCAACTTAAATATTACGTTTTTCGTCAAATTAACACTTCTAAACTATAAATTGATCGTTTATCAACTTTAAATTAATGTTTTTAATATTAAATAACTCTTTTTATCATGAATCAACCTTTTCTAATTTCAAATTAACGCTGTTTTTACAGAAAAACTTTTTGATTCCAATTTAACGATTTTTAACTTCAAATTAACTTTTTTCAAACTAAAATTAACTATTTATAATTTCAACAACTTTTATTTCCATAATATTCTTTTTTATTTCAAACTAACTTTTTTTCAGACAAACTTTTTGATTTTAATTTAACGATTTTTAATTTCAAATTAACTTTTTCAATTTAAAATTAGCTATTTATAATGTCAACAACTTTTATTTGCGTAATATGCTTTTTTATTTCGAATTAACGCTTTCTAATATCAAATTAACTCTTTTTTTCAGAAAAACTTTTTGATTTCAGTTTAACGATTTTTAAATTCTAATTAACTTTTTTCAATTTAAAATTAACTATTTATAATTTCAACAACTTTTATTTGCATAATATTCTTTATTATTTCAAATTAACGCTTTCTAATTTCAAATTAAGCTATTTTTAATTTTAAATGAATCATTTTTAACTACAAAAACCCTTTTATGATTTGAAATTAAGATTTATTTAATTTTAAATTAACACTTTTTTATGGTTGTGAAAATGTATAACTAATTATAAAATTATAACATATAACATTACAATATAATACAAAAATTATTCTTTTAATTTGAATTTTTTTTAAATATCCAGTTTAATTCCATTCACTAGTTTTAGTGTTCCGCTTGACCAATTAACATCTTTCAATTAAAAAATAATTTATCCCAACTAAAAACCTTAATTGATCTACTTTAATTTTTTCTTATATTACCTATTCGTCTTTTAATTTGGTTTTTAAGAGACCAATTATTTTTAATTTAGAAATATTTAATTAATAATAAAATAATCATTTATAGTTAATTATATATCATTTTTCAATTTTAATTTAATTATCATATCGCCCTATAAAAGCCCAGTTATTTTCAATTCTAAAAAAAAAAAAAAACAGATATACAACAATTTTACTTAAAGGGTTTTATTTACAATCTCGCATGTTTTTATGTCATTAAAAAAGTGGTTAATTTGTAAAAACGGGTTATAAAAGTAGTTTTAAAGGAATAATATAAAATTGAAAAGGTCAATTTGACGTGAAAAAGGGTTAATTTAAAATTGAAGAAGGTTAACGTGATGTTAAAATGGGTTTATTGGAAGATAAAAAGCGATAATTTGAAATTAAAAAAGTTATTTTGAAAGGATGAATTTTAAATTAAAAAAATGTATTTGTAGTTCGTAAGGGTTAGTTTGAAATTAAAATATTAAATTGAAGTTAAAAATGGGTAATTTCAAATAAAACACATTAATTTAAAATTAAAATGTGTTAATTTGAAATTAAAAAGTTCTATTTTGAAGTGAAAAGCAGGTAATTTCTCGGAAAAAAGCTATACCCAATATTTGAATATATTTTAAAATTAGTATAACTATGTGGCGTAAACAGCTGAAAGTTTGAAATGTGACTAGGTTTTTTAATTTAATATCAATAAAAACAAGCAAATAATATTTCATTGTAAATTAGTACAACTAATACGGTTAATTAAGGTTTTTAGTTGAGATAAAAAAGTCAATGGTACGATCTGGATTCGAACCCACGATCTTCGGCTAGATACGCCGCTGCTATACCACTTGAGCTACCGTGACCTCGATCCACTCGGACACTAACTTCCCATCTCAACCTCACTTTTTGAATTTTTTCTCCTTTCTGCCATATTTTTTATCTCAACTAAAAACCTTAATTAATTGTAATATATTAATTGATCAAGCAGATTACGAAATTAGTGAATTTAATGAATTAAAACGAAGTATACTCTTCGTGGCCATTTCATTTGTCGTCGAGAATCCAATCGGATTACACGACAATTGAAAAATGGCAAAAAGGAGGGAAAATGCAAAAGGTGCGGTTGAGATGGGAAGTTAGTGTCCGAGTGGATCGAGGTCACGTTAGCTCAAGTGGTTTAGCTGCGGCGTATCTAGCCGAAGATCGTGGGTTCCAATCCCGCTCGTGCCATTGAATTTTTTATCTCAACTAAAAACAATTAATTGTAATATATTAATTGGTCAAGCGGACCACGAAATTAGTGAATTTAATACAACTACTCTTGAACACACTTTTGCGGCTCATTTAGACTTAGACATTTTTTCTCAGACTGACCCATATTTGTAGCATATTCCATGTCAATGTTTTGCTTGAAGTGAACTGTTTATAATGGATTCTTTACCCTTTGCAGAAATAAAAAAATATTACATGACAAAAATCTTCTTTTTTACTTTTTTAAAAGTGAGCTAAACATTTATTACAAATATTAGTTTTCGAAGAAAATTTCGATCGAAGAACTCGAATGAAAAAAAATTTAGCTGATCACTATTTACAGAATTTAAACAATAATATATAAATTGCTTAGAACCACAAGAAGGATAAAATAGAATTGTTGAAAACGAACTTATTTCACTGCTTAATATATTAAATTTTTACCGCTTTCTGCTAAGTTAAATATAATTATAAAGTACTGTCAAAAAATGGCAAAAAGAAGGAAAATTTCAAAAAGGTGCGATTGAGATGGGAAATTAGTGCCCGAGGGGATCGAAGTCCCGATAGCTCAAGTGGTAGAGTAGCGGCGTATCACGCCGAAGATCGTGGGTTTGAATCACGCTGATGACACTGTCTTTTTCATCTCAACTAAAAACCTTAACTAATTGACTTATAATGTACCTTGGTTTGATGTCTAAAAAAAGTAACTTTGGACAAAAGCCACATGTTCAATCGTTTCAAACCTTGTCCTAACCTTGTCATCCTCGAACGACCAGACGATTAAATCAAGTGTGATTCTAATCAACTGATTAAATAATTTTCCCTCATGGAAGCCGGTTGTTCGACCGGCTGAAACTTTCTCTTCGTGCAAATCCAATACTTCTTTGTTTAGTATTTCACGAAAGCTTTTGTGTAGCCGGCGGCCAACGGGATCAACAACCTCAAACTGAGACCATTATGTTGGCGTTGTGGCGAACATTAGTTGACAGGGCGAGGGTGAAGGATCAGAGGATCCCACTTCTTCCAGTGGGAATGATTGATTTTATTGTCGCGGTGCCCTACCCCTAATGGCGCTAAAGGTCTCCCCCTGCCAAATTGCCAGATCCTTCTTAAGGTATAATGGTGTTCTCAGTGCCTTTACCGGGATTTCATCGTTTAAAGATCTTCTGACTGTATTGACTTCTTACAAGCAACACTGTCATTTTATTCCCATGATATAAAATACTACAAACGACTTATAGACCAACAAAATATCTAAATAATCTTTTTTTAAACATAATGGTTGAAAAAAACGACCTTAAGTTGACCTACCTAAACGAGCATAATAATTTCTTATTACTTTAAAATCGAATCATTCTTATAACGTTTTTTTCATGAGACATGTGAACTTTTCCGCCTGGAGAAACTTGACTGTAAGAGCCTGCTTGTTTTTTCCGCTCTTCTGACATTCTGACAACATAGTAATATTCAAAGCACCTTTTTGACCCATAACAAATAAAATTCATTGTCAAATTGCTCAGTACTTGACTTTTGAATTTCCCTGATATGATTTGTTTAAATAAATATTTTATTGCTGTCTGCAATTTAAAAGTGCATGTACTTATATATGTATTTATGAAGATTCTGGTTTTCTTCGTTTTCTTCTCCTTGTTTTCTTTTATGAATTGCTAAATCTTTGGTGTTTTTAGATCAGTTTATTATACAACAATTAACACCATTATTTGAATGGTGGAAGAGTGACTGTGGAATATGGTAAATTTTTTAATAATTGGGATTTTAAAGTAGTTGTGAAGGATATTGTTAGAGACAATAGGGTGTATTTACAATGGTTTTAACGACTTTGGATTGAAATGATTGAAAAGTTTTCTATTTGAACGAAACCTTGGTTTAGTGGTTCCTTAAAGTTTTATACGGTACGTACAAACGGTTGTAATAAAGCTTTCTTCACGGAAGTTTTCCATCTTTCATCCAATCCCTACGTCCAAAAATGCATCATATTACATCCAATTCTCGGTAAAACTCATGTTGTCATTAATTGATGGATAAAGAAGAAAAACAAAAAATCAAATGAAAAGAAAAACTCATGTTTTTACGGTGTATTATATGAACTAGTGTAAATCATTCACAGTAGGCTCAGGTTAAGGTCTCAAATGCAAAGCAGAAGAACGACTGTGCCTCTAGAAAATGTAGAAATACGATTAAAAACTTGGAAAAACGAGAAAATCAGGAAAAACCTTGGACAGGAATATTTGCCGGGGAAAACGAAAGATGCTCACAGGTCGAGGTTTATACAATAAATTCGCTAATTTCGTGGTCCGCTTGACCAATTAATATATTACAGTTAATTAACGTTTTTAGTTGAGGTAAAAAAGTCAATGGCACGAGCGGGATTTGAACCCACGATCTTCGGTTTGATCCGCCGCTCCTCTAACCACTTGAGCTATCGTGACCTCGATCCACTCGGACACTAACTTCCCTTCTCAACCCCACCTTTTGAATTTTCCCTCCTTTTTGCCATTTTTCAAATGTCGTGTAATCTGATTGGATTCTCGACGACAAATGAAATGGCCACGGAGTAATTTAGTGAAGTATACTTCATTTTAAATCATTAAATTCACTAATTTCGTGGTCCGAAGTATTTTTCGTAATCTGATTCTAGTTCAAATGAATTCAATATTAAGACCATATTGACAATAGAATCTTTAAAATCTGCCTTTTAATATTTGAATGTTCAAATTAGTAATTTATAAAATTGGTGAAAATTTTTGCAGGTGGCAGAATGGACGGACGAAGCTGGATTTCAACCTGTCGCCGCTAAGTACGAAAGACTAAAACCACAAAGTAACATAGAAAGGAATAGGACTTACGTCGTCACAACAATTGTGGTAAGTAAATAACCTTAAAAAATATAACATACCAATGCAAAATCGCCTAAACTCTTAACATTCAATAAAACATGTGGTTTAAAGAATGCTGCAGCGTTGGTGGGCTGGATCGGCAGAGTCTCATTTATAGCACTGTTGATAGGTTGCCCTCGGNGTTGAGATGGGAAGTTAGTGCCCGAGTGGATCGAGGTCACGATAGCTCAAGTGGTAGAGCAGCGGCGTATCTAGCCGAAGATCGTGGGTTCGAATCCCGCTCGAGGCATTGACTTTTTTATCTCAACTAAAAACAATTAATTGTAATATATTAATTGGTTAAGCGGACCACGAAATTAGTGAATTTAATACAACTACTCTCGAATACACTTTTGTGGCTCATTTAGACTTAGACATTTTTTCTCAGACTGATCCCATATTTGTAGCATATTCCATGTCAATGTTTTGCTTGAAGCGAACCGTTTATAATGGATTCTTTACCCTTTGCAGAAATAAAAAAATATTACATGACAAAAATCCTCTTTTTTCCTTTTTTAAAAGTAAGCTAAACATTTATTACAAATATTAGTTCTCGAAGAAAATTTCGATCGAAGAACTCGAATGAAAAAAAAATTTAGCTGATCACTTTTTACAGAATTTAAACAATAATATATAAATTGCTTAGAACCACAAGAAGAATAAAATAGAATTGCTGAAAACGAACTTATTTCACTGCTTAATATATTAAATTTTTACCGCTTTCTGCTAAGTTAAATATAATTATAAAGTACTGTCGAAAAATGGCAAAAAGAAGGAAAATTTCAAAAAGGTGCGATTGAGATGGGAAATTAGTTCACTAGTTTTAGTAGTTCGCTTTACCAATTAATATTTTTCAATTAATTTAGGTTTTTAGTTGAGATAAAGTTCGAGTGGATCCAAGTCACGATAGCTCAAGTGGTAGAGTAGCGGCGTATCACGCCGAAGATCGTGGGTTCGAATCCCGCTCGTGACACTGACTTTTTTATCTCAACTTAAAACCTTAACTAATTGACTTATAATGTACCTTGGTTTGATGTCTAAAAAAAGTAACTTTGGACAAAAGCCACATGTTCAATCGTTTCAAACCTTNTCAGGTTAAGGTCTCAAATGCAAAGCAGAAGAACGACTGTGCCTCTAGAAAATGTAGAAATAGGATTAAAAACTTGGAAAAACGAGAAAATCAGGAAAAACCTTGGACAGGAATATTTGCCGGGGAAAACGAAAGATGCTCACAGGTCGAGGTTTATACAATAAATTCGCTAATTTCGTGGTCCGCTTGACCAATTAATATATTACAGTTAATTAACGTTTTTAGTTGAGGTAAAAAAGTCAATGGCACGAGCGGGATTTGAACCCACGATCTTCGGTTTGATCCGCCGCTCCTCTAACCACTTGAGCTATCGTGACCTCGATCCACTCGGACACTAACTTCCCTTCTCAACCCCACCTTTTGAATTTTCCCTCCTTTTTGCCATTTTTCAAATGTCGTGTAATCTGATTGGATTCTCGACGACAAATGAAATGGCCACGGAGTAATTTAGTGAAGTATACTTCATTTTAAATCATTAAATTCACTAATTTCGTGGTCCGAAGTATTTTTCGTAATCTGATTCTAGTTCAAATGAATTCAATATTAAGACCATATTGACAATAGAATCTTTAAAATCTGCCTTTTAATATTTGAATGTTCAAATTAGTAATTTATAAAATTGGTGAAAATTTTTGCAGGTGGCAGAATGGACGGACGAAGCTGGATTTCAACCTGTCGCCGCTAAGTACGAAAGGCTAAAACCACAAAGTAACATAGAAAGGAATAGGACTTACGTCGTCACAACAATTGTGGTAAGTAAATAACGTTAAAAAATATAACATGACAAAGCAAAACCGCCTAAACTCTTAACATGCAATAAAAACATGTGGTTTAAATAATGCTGCAGCGTTGGTGGGCTGGATCGGCAGAGTCTCATTTATAGCACTGTTGATAGGTTGCCCTCGGGGTATCTGACCAGAATAAAAAGAGTCATCCTCACTCGATTAAGGATGGGTCGTACGGGGTTAATACATGAATATTTAATTTTGGGTCAGTGACCATGTAGAGAAACGTTTTTCGGTATGTTCACCTAACTGAGGGTGCAATAGAGAGTGCGTAAGAATACCACCAAATATGGGAATTGTTCTTAAACATTTATATGAATCGCTTGTTCCGATTCTAGGAAGAAACAGAGTAGTTTGCTTGTATATAGTGCGGATATTATTGTGTACCCTCAGGTGTATGAAGAATGAATGTATTTATTAGAGTGAATGTATTTGTTAGAGTGAATGGAAGTATTGAGAGAAAATGACTTTATTATGGAACTAGAGTCCCCTAAGAATGCCAAAAAGTTCAGAACTTTATTTACAAATCTGGCACTTGAATTAATAAATTTTGACGCAAATATAAAGTAAAATAAATTGAACTAAATCACATAACGCAAAATATAAAAAATACTGAGTAATAGGTGTAAAGGGTGATGGTGGAATATTGAGTACTCAATCTCAACGTGGACTCAAGATTCCTAGTGGACGGTAAATAAATAAAAAAGAATGTATTTAAGATTGAGTGAGAGCGTGAATGGGTTTGGAATTAGAAACAGATTGTATTGGGCGCTGGAATGACCTAGCCGTTGATAGCTCCTGGAGTTTGCTCGGTTGTCGGACGGATAAGACCGAGGTCTGACCTAACTACCAACCAAGGAGTAGGTGATTTTCGAAGAGTGCCGGTTATTTATTGTAAATTACAAAACTTGAATTGCCGGCGCGAAATGTAATAGGCTATACTTAAGTACGAGCTTGCACAGATTTGAGCTTATATAAAGCAGTAAACAGTTATTTCATTGAAATAAATATATGCACATGTGACATAACACTTATGAGTATGTTTGGTGATTAGACAGTTGGTCGATGATTATTCAGAAATCGTGAGATGCGGTCTGGTGTGATGTAGGTTGTTGAAAAACATTTTCTTTATCGTGCCAACGTTTCGATCTGTATTGAGATCATCTTCAGGGCCTGGGATTTACAAACATTGTTTAAATTTAACAAAAACATGTAGGATGTGGAAAAAGTGAATTTATACAATGCAAAAAAATATTTTTTTATATTTTATAAAATATTCACTTTTTTCCACATCCTACACGTTTTTGTTAAATTTAAAGAATGTTTGTAAATCCCAGGCCCTGAAGATGATCTCAATAAATATGTTATTATGTTTTTCTGAAACCTACATCACACCAGACCGCATCTCACGATTTCTGAATAATACTTATGAGTATTTTCTCAAATACTTTTCAACCTGGCAAATAAAATTAACTAACTTCTATGTAATAAAATTCTTCTCTCTCTTACTCACTTCTTACCTTAAAATCGACTCAAGACAGTTTTAACATTTGCGCGCATTCACACATGTCGAAAGAGGTCTCTGAGACGGTGTAGAATAGATTTTCGCTTTGTAGTTGTGGGATGTGCAGCGGAGCGAGACCTCACGGGCCATTACGCTCTCGGTGTCCTGCCTTCATTACCTCTCTTCATACCTCAATACGTCAAGGGTTCGGCTAAATCTACACTCGCTCCAGCCTTGTAAATTTACACGAATCCTTTCCAACGTCGTTCTTCAACTGTTTGCCGACTTAAAAGAACTTAATTAAAAATTTCTTTTGATATTCGACACAGAGAAAAATTAGTCGACGTTTAACTCATGAATTCTTTGAATAATTTGTATGGTATGGTATTAAAACGAGTTTTTTTTAGGGGGTCAGCTTTTTATTACGTTTCGAAATGGTCTTGGCATAATTTAAAAATATCGTGTG